TCCTGTCCACCATGATGTGAAGACTACCTTCATGTACTCCAGTACCAGGATGATCTACCCTACCCAAGTGCATGGGGCCAAGTGACCATGACCTGAGCTCTAAAATCATGAGCAAAATAATTCCTCCCTAAAATTTGGTTTCAGGTATTTTATCACAGTGATGAAAAAGTAACTAATACACATATTAAATTTCACTAAAGTGAACTCTTATGGTGTTTGATTTCAATATATAAGGAAACCTACATATATAGGGACAGTTTCACAGAAATAATATTTATTTGTTTGTTTATTTGTTCATTTATTGGGTTTTTTTTTTTTTTTTGAGACAAGATTTCTCTGTGTGTAGCCTTGGCTGTTCTGGAACTCGATCCATAGACCAGGCTGGCCTCAAACTCAAAGATCTACCTGCATCTACCTCTGGAGTGCTGAGATTAAAGGCATGCACCATCACCACCAGGCTTATTTTATTTATTTTTATTTTTATTTATTTTGAGACCGTCTCATTAGCTGAGAACGATCTTAAATTGATCGTACTGCCTCTACCGTCTGAGTTCTGAGTTACAGTGGTTGCTAATATACATGCTTTGTACATGGCTTCATTCATGGCAGACAAGCACTCTACCAACTAGCCTACATCCAAAGCCCCAGCAATTAGTTATTACAAGAAAATAAGATGGGTGTGGTGGCAAATGCCTGTAATTCCAGCACTTGGGAGGGCAGGAATTTAAGGTCAGCCTCAGCTACCAATCAAATTCAAAGCCAACCAGGGCTACACAGACCCAGTCTCAGGAAAGCTCTGCTCCACCCCCTTCCCTCCAAAAAAAGAGAAAAAACAAAACAAGGGAAAGAAGATATAGCTCAGTCTTAGAGGGCATGCCTAGCATGCACAAGGCTCCAGGTTCAATTCTCCATCACTGCATCAACAAAAGTACAGTCTTTCAGTTTCAGTTAACAGAGATCCTCAGTGTCTCCACAAAGGAGAAGAGGGTGGGGGTGGGTAGGGTTTAGCACAGTGGTAATGTGTGTTTCTTTAACATGAAACAGGCCATAGGTTCATTCTCTAGAACAGCTGAAAAGTAGCATTAAAAGAAAAATCAATACATGCATTTAGCACATGTATAGAATAAATCTTTATTCATCTTACCTCCCATGTTTTCCAATCCATTTATTACACTCTCTTTGATCTGTGAATCAAAATAGCTAGATTTAGGGTTAATGGTTTCTATAAAAGGAAGCAATAGATATAGAACTTTGTATACAGTAGAAAAATGGGTAGCCTCCATTTTTCAATAAAATCCTAATCCTATATTCCTGTTGTCTGATTGTTTAAAAAAAGTTTTTTTTTTTACATTTTATTTGTTTTTATGGTGAATGTACATGCCATAGCATGCATGTAGAAGTCAGAGGACACCTGGTATTCATTCTGTAGACCTCAAATGCAGAGCTCAGACTGCCTCTTCCTCCCTACTGCTGGGTTTAAAGGCATAAACTTCCATGCCCAGCTCTGTTCTTTCTACTTTTCTACCACATGGGTTCTGGGGATCAACTCAGTTGATCCACTAGTGTCCACACTCAGTAAGCCATCTCTCTGCTACCCCCACCCCCGTCTAGTCTTAAACAAACTGTACAGGCTACATAGCTGAGAACGATCTTGAATTTATGATCCTCTCCTGCCCCCACCTCCCAAGTACTCTGATGACAGGCCTGTGCCACTTTTTTTATCCTGCTAGGGTAGACTAGGCTTCATCAGGCTAAGCAAGTACTCTACCAAGTTACACACTCAGTCCATATCCACCCTTTGGAAAAAAATTAGATAAGTGTACACATATACAAGTTTGCCTATCTTTTTTAGGTTTTAAGAACATCTTACATGGATCCCAGGTTAATAACTTCTATGTAGTGGGTAGCCATTCCAGATTTGATCTGGAAGTTCCAACCCCCATTGAGGCTTCTGTAACTGTCACACCTACAAGGTGGGGCCAAGAGAGGACCCTGAAGACCCAAGACCCCGATGCGCTGCCTCTCTCTGTTCCTGGACCCTGGATGGTGGAGGTAGACTGAGCAGAGTTCTCCAGAGAACACCGCAGGACTGCGACACACCTTCCCCCAGACCCTGCA